CACTCATTTTTTAAATTGCTAAAACTGCAATGTGAGCAAATATTTCACTGCATCTCTCACTTGGAAACGCAGGTTACTCTGTTCAAACTTCTGGAGAGGGAAATAAAGGTCTAAAATAAATAAAATATTTAAAATAAATAAATAAAAGCAGTTTATGTTCATATAAACTGAGTTTACTCCCAGTGACTCCAGTTAATAACCCTGGAAACTAGTTCTAAAATAACTGAAAAGAGAATCCGAGCTGAGTTTGTCTTGTCCTATCTCTTCTGACAAAATGATGATAAATGAACGAAGATAAACCAAAGCTGATCTTTATAGCACTTTGTTTTGCACAAAGCTTTTCCTTTGCTAGTGCAAGTCAGTAGATGACAGGAGTCTGCTCGCCTTGTCAGTGTGGCTACTCTCACCACTGCTCAGCACTTCTCAGTACCTGGTTTTAAAATTCTAGTACCTTTTGAGTTGCTAAGTCATTACAAAAGGAAAAAGATTGGCATGGGTAGGCTGAATCCTTAGCAGAGAGCTGGTCTCAGCACAGGGAAGTACCGAGGAGAAAGAAAAAGCCTATGGTATTTTTGTGGTATTTTACCTTGTTGACCTACTGTTCCAAAATATTTTCTAGGTAAAACATCACCATGAAGGTGGCAGTTCTGTGTTTATGCCTTATCAGCATCACTGCTGCATGGCCAGTGAGTAAATCACAAAGTTTTCTTTGCTGCATATTTTTTTGCATATTAGCAAGAAATTAATACTGATGAATGCTTTTTCTCTTTTCTCCCTTCAAGGTGAGTAAATCCAAGCAGCATGCCATTTCTGCCAGCTCTGAAGAAAAATATGTAAGCTCCTTTTGTCTTTCTATTAATTTTCTTTAATAAATCCTTTTTGATTTTTTTTTCCTCTCTAATACATGTTGTCTCATACTTGTTTTATGGTTGTAGCTGCTTGCGGAACATGTCCTCACCTGGCTGTTATGAGCCAGTTTCACAGGTAGCCAAAGCAGAGAGCCGCTGATGTCAGTAGACTTTTGCCATGTTCGGCATTCTAACTTTTTGTTAGTTGTATCTCTGGACCAGCACTGGAAACCTTTTTTCTTAATGAAACATGTGTAAGCTGTCAAAAAAAGATAAAAGGACTTTAGCGTGGCACAACTACTATAACCCACATTCATTACTGTGGATCAGATGGTGTAGGAAGAGCACTTTAATCCCATTTCCATGATTTTTTTGAGTGGCATGAGTGAACACTATTAGTCTTGTACATATCTATTTGATTTATACTCCATAGCCATCTACTACCCATGTAAAATCAATTCTTTGCTCTGAGAATCAGTTACTGCATTTAGTTTGGAGTCTTCATGATGTGGGAGATAGATAAACCACTCTTGGGAAAAGGACCTGAGAATGAGCCAAAACAATGGTCATTAGGTATAACTCCAAATTTCAGTCGATAAAAACAAGCTGGAGAAACTGATCTGAAATTCCCCAGGCTCTGCCAGTGGGAGAGGCACATCTTCTGTATTATATTGTTTGAGTATAATGTTCATCTGGGATCATGGCTTGTTCTGAGTTCTCTTCCTGCTGCAATGAATTGCTGAGGACACATCCTGTACAGAAGGAGTATGTATTGTATGTATTTTTTTTTTTTCTCTCGAAGCACCCCAGGGGCCATCACTCACACAGGTATCAACACCACCACCACCATGTGAATTCTCAGTCCTGGGAGAGTCTGAAGCACCCACAGAATGACCTGGCATCGCCTCAGCAGGTACGGGAAACTAACTGGAAGAGAAAGCAGAATATCTTTCAATGCCAAGACTAGGATTAAGTTAGGATTAAGTGCTTAAACAATAGCCAACATGCTGATTAGCTCTACTGTATATGCCTTTGCGTGCTAATAGTGAGTTTTATGTTGTTTCAGACTCTCTACTCTTCAGAAGAAAGCATGGATGTTCCAGTACAACCGGTAAGTGTTTTGAACAGCAAAATGTCACTTGAGTGCTGTAGGGCAGCCAGTGTGTAGTAGCACTCATTTTCCTCAATCATCAAATGCAGTTCTTGTGGTAACATCTCTCCCTAAATAAAACAAAGTTTCAGGGAGGGTGAGGCAAATTCAGAGCAATTTGTGCACGTAGCTCCTCAACAGTCCATAAGCCCTGTGTGAGCAGGACAGATACGAGTCTGCACATCTCACATATATTTTCACTTGCCTGATGCATAATATATGTTTTCCAGCACTTCCCTGATGTGTCAAGCAAGAGCCATGAAGATGTGGATGATGATGATGACGATAATGATTCCAATGACACAGATGAATCCGATGAGGTTGTCACGAATTTTCCCACAGACATTCCAGTAACTGTACCCTTCCCTCCTTTCCCTTTCACCCGGGGAGACAACATCGGCAGAGGCGACAGCGTAGCCTACAGGGTGAGGGCAAAAGCTGCAGTGGTGAAGCCTAGCAAACTCCGCAAAGCTGCAAAAAAGGTAAATAGCGCTGAGCAGTGGTAAACAGGTTTTTGGAAAAGGGTAGTGAACTTGAAAATGGAGGTTATTTTATGGGACTCAGTTTTGAAAAGGATTGGCAGGAGGAAAGTAGGTATAACTGAAGGAATGTATTTCCTTTCTCTGGAAAGAGAAACCCAAATGAGGGGGTATCAATGGCCAGAGGGCTGTCAATGTGTCAAGGCAGGAGTGTAGCCTGCTGCTGCGAGCTATGCAACACTGCAATTTGCACTAGCATGAGGTACTTGCAGACATGAAATCTGAGGCCAGAATCAAACTTGAGTTTCTCGTAATGTGAAAAGTTCATGTAACTCCATAAAAGACCCCATTGTCTCCAGGCAGAGATGCATCATGCTGGCTTTGAGTGTCCCCACAGCCTACACAGCTTACTTTGGTGAAGTACGGCAGCATCTGTAGACAGATCAGTTCCTCTGGAGTGACAGTGGCTCTTTCTTTTGCTCTCTAACACAGCTCATTGTGTATGATGCCACCGAGGATGATGACAGTGCCCTGGATGCAGACAGCCAGCAGGCAGGGCTCTCCTGGGACGATCCTGCTGCCCGCCGCTCCCTGGGGAAACACGCCATCAGTGGGGAATGGGCTGACAAGAGCCACGGGCAGGACAGCAGCGAGCTGGACAGCAAGCAGCATGACCAGAGCATGGAAAACGACAGCCGGCAAAAATTTGATAGCCATGAGGCGGAAAGAGATGACAGCAAGGCTGGTGTCAGAGGGGACAGCCACCAGAGCATGGAAAGCAGAGAGAGCCAGGTCCGCGTTTCAGCTGAGATCCCTGACGATAACAGCAACCAAACATTGGAGAGTGCCGAGGATGCTCAAGATCATCACAGCATTGAAAATAACGAAGTCACCCTTTAAAGGGAGACAAATGTAATGTTTCCCTTCTTTTTCAATTCCTGGCTAAGGGGAGGGGGGAGTAGCTTCATTTCGGGTAACTGTTTGTAAATGTAGAGCGCGTGGTGACTTTTCAGGTTTGGGGCAGCTTCTTTACCCGGTGGCCTCCCCTCAGCCGCCAGCAGTGCCAGCCCTCTGCACTGCTCGTCTTGCCGGCCTCGCAGGGTGCAGGCGGCAAAGGCATGGGGAAGCGAGGGGAACGCCGTCGGACGCTCGGAACCCCCGTTACCTCTCTGGCACGCTGCTCTCTGTACTGCCAGCCTGTATTTTGCTGTAACTGGATTTAAATAAAAACACAAACCTCTGTACCTGCGGGCTGCATTACTTTTTGCTGGGTTGCGGTGGGGGAAGTTTTCTGTCTGCATGAGGAGCTTTAATACCGCTGCTTCTTAAAATTATGCGAGATAGCTGTTCCCCCACGACTTATAAAGTGGCTAAAACCCCTCTGCGGGGCGTTCTTCTGCTTTTACCGAGGGTGAGCGGCGAGCTGGCCTGAAACAACCGGGCGCACCGCTTACCACAGAGGCGCCCCAGGGCTCCCCGCCTCACGGCT